GGGCAGGGGAAAGGAAAGAAAGGAAAGGAAAAATGATGAGAAATGGAAAAAATGGAAATAAAGTCTTCGTAAATAGGGAAGGGTGGAGGGGGTGAAGGGAAGGCTAGGAATGGGGAAAAAATAAGAACCAAGAAAAAAAATAAATAAATAAAAGCAGCACTATTAATTAAAAAAAAAAAAAATTAAGGTCCGATTCCTTTTCCCCAACCAGAAATAGTAACAATCAATTCACAACCAATGATCTTATAAGAATCTTCAACATTTTTTCTTCAGATGTTTCTGGAGAAAAATTAGAAATTTGGATGCGAGAACATTTTACTCTATCATATAGAGATGGTAGCCTATTTTAAGGGCTTCTGTTGATAAAGAAGTAATTTGATTATGGTTCCAGAATTCCAAGTTATATGCACTTGACACAAATACCAACTGTATCCAACTCACAAGTAAGTTATGTCCCAAAAGTCTTTTTCTAAATTTATGATTTGGTATTTGGAAGACATACTCCCTCCCACAGATCTCCTTTATAGTTTCTCAGACCAGCCTTTAAAACAAACAAAGAAACAAACAAAACAACCTAAGGTGTAATATTTCAGTGAAGCACAGTTTTGATGGTGCTATAGAACCCAGACTACTACAGAATATTGTTTGTATGGAAAATGTGTTCCAAAGTCTAACTCAAGAAGCCAGGGATTTATCTCTGCCAATCTAAGATCTCAACAAGGAGAGTTCACTCCATCTATCATTTAAAAAAATTTGGGGGGGTTGGGAAGTCTTGGAGGGGGAGGGGACCCAGGAGACAGGCACTAGGCATCTACAGAGACCTCACCTATCCTCAACTTCCTGTTTATCACGGTCAAAATCCTGTAGCATTTGTCTCATTTGACTACACAAGTCCTGATTTGTTTTTCTCAGCTTTTCTTCGGCTTCTTTAAGTTCCTAGAAACAAGAGTATTTAGAAGACATAAACATTTTCATTAATTAATCTGATCTTTTTAACATCCTCATGGTCTACCTCTGCCCTATAACTGTCATAATTTCAACTTCATAATTCTATGAAAGAAAAGTCTCTCATGCCTCGGTAAGAACACAAGTTTCTTTGATAAGTAGCTTTTGGACAGGAGCAAAAGTTAAAAATTTATATTTGTTTTGAAATATATGAAACGAAAACATTTAACCACAAAAGTATTGGCTCATACTTTAAAATAAGTCTTCAAATGCCATAATCTTTAGTACCCTTCAAACAAGATTTTACTTTTTGGTCAAGTAGCTGTGCTACTTTATAGGAAGGAAACAGGAATGATACTAAGCTTCCAATGAGACCTTTACCCAGCAGCACAGGTTAGAGAGAAGTAACTGGATCCAATAAGTGCCTACTGATCTACTTTTCTACCTCACATTTCCCTTGCATCTCTGAAAAGTTTAACAAATCCTTTGTATTTAATAAGGTCATGAAAATTCTCATTAAAATACAGGACATTTTTTAATTACCTGATTTTGTTGTTGTAAAACTTGAATTTCATTTTTAAGCTGGAGAACATCATCTTGGACAATCACATCAGAAGAAGAGTCAGGCCATAACGGAGTCACTGGTTTTTCTAAGGTATCAATTTTCATCTGAATGTTAAAAAGAAGTCAAAAATATTTTAAGTTTTTAAAAATCTGAGTATTTATTTTGAAATAATTTCATACTTACAAAGAACTGCAAAACAATACAAATGATTTCCACATATCTTTCACTCATCTTTCCCAAATACAGTGATCAAAACCAGGAAATTAGCCTGGATGTCACACTATCAACTCATCTGCAGACCTCATGCAAATGTCTCTGGTTCTCCTCTAACATCCTTTTTCTTGGTCCAAGATCAAATCTATTCCACTTTGCATTGTCAAGTCTCATGAGTCTCCTCTAGTCTAAATCAGTTCTTCAGCTTTTGTCTTTTGCTCCCATGACATTATTTTGCAGCACATCACTCAGTTTGGGTTTCCTGAGGTTAACTTCTGTATCTAATTTAGGCTACGCACCTTAGCATGAGTGTGGTGCCGGGAACTGATGTAAGCTCCTTCCAGGAGGCAAAGGGTATCGGTGTCTCCTCACTGGTGACGACCATGGTTGGAGGTAGCACCTCCCAGGCATCTCCACCATAAACTTACTACCTTTGGCTTGTAAATTAGTAAGTGTCTTCTGAAAAGATGCCTTGAGACTAGGCAAATGTCCTATTTCTTGTCAGACTTTCACCCGCTAAGATCAGCATTTATTCTATTTCTGTATGTATCTATTCATGCCAGTATTAACTCATGGATATATATTTTACTTGATAAGTACATTTTTCAGACTCATGATAGACATTGGCAATTGTTTTCCAGAAAGATCAAGGTCATACAGATGTATGCTACTGAGAGGGTAAAGTCTGCTCAACTCGCTTCACTTCCCACGCCGATAACAGCCTTGAAATAACCCCTGTACTGGACGGCAAAGGAAACCTCACAGCTGCTTTCACCCTCCTTTCCTGTGCTGTCACCAGAGTGGAGCCCCTTCCATGCCTTCATTCTGTCTGTTCGGATAACTGCACACCTTCCTCTTACTGAGTATCTTCCTTGTCTATTGTTATAAATGCTTTATTCATAGCAGGGGAGGGGGCCCACGAAGATTTCTAAAGTCCACCTGTCCACCTGGCGCTTGTTGGTTTGTGTATCTGGATCCTTCAACAGTGTTTTAAATAAATATCCTGTTCCCTCCCTAACTGGAGGACATCGATCTCTGAGCGCCATTCCCACACCCAGACAGGACACAGGCTTTTGGGGAGCAGCAGTCCTCCCCTCCAAGTGAGACCACTCCAGCTGTTGGCTTCTCTCATCTTTCCCATCAGAAGAGAAAAGAGCCAAGAATACCTGCTCTGCTCACTTTTAAGGTTCTGTTAGACTTCTAAGGATTTTACTTACTCACTAGAATGGTTTTTTTTTTTTTTTAAACTTGGCCTCTGATTTTAAAAGTTTATGATATTCATTTGGTACGTCTTCCAAACTGGTGAGTTTTTATTTCTAGTAATCAAAGTAGCATCGAATTGATACACTGAAAACCTCTTTTCATGCTAAGATTTTACCCAGTTTTGACACATCATCACCCTGTAGGGACACAAGGGCAAGGTCCCTGTCAGGACAAGATCTTTAAAAAGAAAAGGATCGCATGAATGTCACAGTGAAATTTCTTCCTGAAGGTAGAATCTCAAACACATTTGTCTTCAAGAAATCAAGAAATCTAACACACCCACTCTATGTCTAAAGAGATTCTAGTTAGAAGTTAGCTGAGCTGGTTACTGAATATGGCCTATCAATTACTTCTGGAATCAGGGCATAGCTTTAAGTTTATCTTCAAGTTAGGTAAAGATTTTCACTGAGGATCAGACACAAAAGCCTCTGTTTTATTTATCATGTTCACAAGAAATTCTGTATAGATATGGGCCCTGACTGTTAGTGACCTATTCTGGATTTCCTAAAGCCTTTGGCACATTCTGCCACAATGGGCCAGTTGGTCACTTGGAATGAATGGCCTAACAGTTGATCTACTCCAAATTACTGTTTAGTGCTATCTATGTATGGGTAGTCTTCTAATCTTCCTCACAGATTATCCTGGAAATATCATAGAACGGTATATCCAGGTTTTACACAGAAACAATTTTATTACTGTAGATAAGATTCCTGAGCAAGAACTCAGCTTGGAATAAACCACTGCTATGAAGTCATAACATGAACGCAAAAACCATAAGCCTCTGCAATAATTTTAAATCGTTCTATATTAAGATGGATATAAACGAACATAAAATGTACTCCAAAGTATGCATGAAGCAGTAAAGATAACCATATCATTAAAGTGTTCATGCAAGAAACATGCAAAATGTCTACATAGTAAATAGGTCTGCTGGCCATTTTTGGGGGGTGGGGAGCGGGGATTGAACTCGGGTCCTTGCGCTTGTGAGGGAAGCGGCGGAACCACTGAGCTAAATCCCCGGCCAGCTGGCCTTCTTAATACATACTCATACTTAGAAATAGTGGAGCGAGGCTGTTGACACCCCGTTCTCTTTAAGAAGATATCCGGGGAAGTTTAAATGGATGTGTTCTTTCTCTTCAACGCCCTGCAGAATGCAGAGAGGTTCACTGTCATTTTATTAACCCCAGGATCTGAGGCATCTGTGATCATCCTTTATAGAAACAGATGTTGAGACATTTAAACTTTCTAGCCTCAATAAAGAGCTCAGAAAGGTAGCACTTGTTGCACTCACATGCCCTCCCCACTGGTCACACCAACTTATTTGCAATGTCCTTTCAGATGGCTCTGCTCAAGGCTAAACATCCTTTCCCACCCTCTCTCCTAGACTTGCCTTTCAGGACAAAGGTCAAATGTCCCCTCCACAAAGATCTCACTAAGACTATCTTATCGTCCTACGTATCCCAAGGCCAATTAGATATTCCTTCACAGACCATTATGCTCAAACTATGTAGAATCTGTACTATACTAGGTTATAGGTACCCATTCCCTTATTGATCTATAACATTAAATGTGACAGCATATCGACCCCTTGAGACCACAGAGCACTTGAAGGGGGCAATACAAACTGAGATGTGCAGTAAGTATAAATCCCATGCTGAATTTCAAGGACTTATTACACATTCACAGAATGAAATCCATCTCATTAATAATATCTATATTAATTACATGAATTAACAATGTGGATAACCTTTTGCATAAGCAGATAGTCCCCACCTTCTGATGGTTCGACTTACAATATTTCAACTTTAGGATGATGTGAAAACAATATGGATTCAGCAGAAGTTGTGATTTGCATTTTCAACTTGCTCTTTTTCCAGGCAGGGACAGGCAGCATGCTGTGCTCTCATGATGCTGAGCAGTAGCAAGAAGCTGCAGCCCCGGCCAGCCCTGTGCTCAAGAGGGGAAGCCAACACTGCAGTGCACTGCGCTCAGTGAGACACTGAACACTCGACTATAAACTTGCTTTGTGTCACATGATTTTCCCCAACCATCTGTATTCTGAGCACCTTTAAAGGAGGCAAAGCTAAGGTACAATGTTTGCCAGATTAGGTGTATTAAACACATTTGTAACTTGCTATTTTGCTTCTGAGGAATTTTTTGGGATATAACTCCATCATAAGTCCATGAGCATCTAGGCTGAGTTAAATGAAATGCATTATTAAAATTAAAATTAATTTCACACATTACTTTTACTTCAGTAGGTCTACTAAAAAGATTTTAAGTTAGTATGTGGCTACATTGTATTTCTGTTGAATAGCACTGTTGTAGGTTCTAAGTTTCAAGGAATGGCCATTGTTTCATTATTGAATCCCACGAGACCTTTCAGAGACTCACTTTTAAATAAATGAATAACGGTTATCTATTCTTCCAATTATACATCACCCAATACCTCCAAAACATGCTTTCTCATTTTATTTCCAGACAAACTGAAAATTCTATCATAAAAGATGTAGGAAATAGGAGGCAAAGCCAAACTTCAAAAGTGTCATGGGCTAGCTGGAGAACTATGAACTTGGGTTTTTGGAAAAGAACCCACCCAGGGCCAGGGATTTAGCTCAGTGGTTTCGCCGCCTGCTGTGCAAGCGCAATGACCCGAGTTCGATCCCTGGTACCAAAAAAAAAGAAAAGAACCCACCTTGTTGGTCAAGTTACTACTTGTACTTCCTCTCCCAATTTCCTACTAAGAGAGGAGAAATCAGTAAGTGCTTGTGTTCGACAAACGTGAGCAAATGTGCAGAGAATTATCCAGGCAATATCCCTAGGAAATCACTACACAGGAAGCTGAAGCAGAGCAGACATAAGCAGAAAAGGGGCTACAGAAAGAAAAAAAATCAGAGCATAGATGCGGACTACTGAGAAATCACCATGGCAAAGAGCAGCAGGACAAAAAGTGTTCTCAAAACTGAGACAGCGCCCTCTGAGCTACCAGTCAGCCCAACTACGGAGGCAAAGGGAAGGCTAAAGAAGCAACACAAGGCAGCACGACCGTCATCTGCCACACGAGGAAGTGGGTTGTAGCAGGTGCCATTAGTGACTCCAACACAGAACAAAGAGGGCACTGGATACCTCAGCCAGGGTCCAATCCCCAAAGCAGGGTCCTACTCTTCGTCTCTGGATACGCTCACCAAAATGCTTAAACTAATTAAATCCAGCCCTTACCACAAATTGAGACACACACTTTCATTCCCATCCTTTCAAAGAAAACCATATGGTCACAATTAAAATATATTAATTTAAAGATGTTACATGTGCTGGGGGAATTTCCTTTGTTAACACTAAAATCAATGTTAAAGTTATCAAACACAGTTACTCAGAGCAGGAAATCAGACTGGGCAGGATTTTGACAGTAAAAATACACTACTATTTCTGGAAAATAAATTAGCTACACCTAAAATTCCACAACAATTAACACCATAGAACACTTTACATACTTTGACTTAGAAATCTGTAATGAATACAATTCCTAGACTAAAGGATCAGGAAACAAAACAGTACTAAAGTAGAAAGCCAAAAATTATTTCCCTCCACGATGAAAAGGAGACCACTACTGTGTTAGTCAGCTTCCACTGCTGGGGCAAAATACCTGACACACACAACTTACAAGAGGAGAGGTTTGTTTTGGCTCACAGTTTCTGAGGTTTCATTCCATGGTTAGCTGGTTTCATGGCAGAGACCTCATGGCAAAGGAAAGCTCCTCACCTCCTGGCAGCCAAAAGGCCGAACAGAGTGAAGGAGCAAATGAGGAAGGGCCTGGGAACAAGATGTACCCTTCAGTGCACACTCCAGTGACCTCTGTCCTCCAACTGGGCCCCATCTTCTAACAGACCATTCAGCTCCGAACTCATGGTCCTGTAGGCACCCTCACAATTCAGCCACCTGTCTAGGTTCCACCTCTCAACACTGCTGCATTGGGTGCAGCCCTCAATACAAGAGTCTTTGGGGGACCCTTCATGTAGTAACCATAACAACTACTGCATACCCTTCCTCCCCGTTTCTTTTCCCGTTCTTAATGACTAGGTTTTTATGTATCTTCTCTAGAGAGAATAGATAGTGAGAATTTGTAAAATAAAGGTGGAGGAGGCACTATTAAAAAAAGATCTCTGTGACAGCATGACCTTCAGGGAATAACCATGACGTGCTTTAGCTTTGGTATGCCCAAGACCAACTCTGTAACTTAAAAGCATCGCAAACTCCTCCAGCTTCTTGTCCTCATCTATAAAGTAAAGCTACTAACAGAAGAATGTGTGGAGGTGGATTTCAAGGACTGACATGACCTGACTCTGGGTCTCTCCCATCTGTTTAACCAGGACTATATAATTAATGTCCTTGTACAGAATGACTTTTGTTATGAGAACATAGGCCAGGGAAGTCTCATAGACAAAATTCTACAGGATTTCCATATGCAGGATTTATTTTCATCAGGTTTTAAAGCATTATTGGTATAAGTCAACCCCGAAGAATTGCAGATACCCTGCAACACAAAATGCTTCCCGGTATCTGTAGTAAAGAAATTTTACTTAACCAACATCTCATTTAGGTCCTGAGAGTAAGCAGAAAACATATTCCTTTAAGCAGCATTTCTTCCTTTCAACTTTACTTCTAGAGGAGTCAAATAAACCCTTGACAATCAAAGGCTTAACTTCAATATATGAAATACAGTGGACCCTTGACTTACTAACTCAATTTGTTCCCGAGGGCTGGTTGTAACTCAAATTGGTCAGTTGAAGGCTCAGGCTCCTCTACACAGCCTTCAAAGTCTCTCTCCTGTACACAGGCAGTTCTCAGTGTCCTTAGAGAGACACTGGCCCAGGATTTCTCAGTTACCCCACACAGGAAAGGATGCTGTCATGTTCCTTCCAGAACTCTTTAAGGGTTAAGCCTGTATCTGAGACCATCTGGAAGCACAAGTGGCTGGCATTCAGGTCATAACTCAAGACTTTGGTTGTAAGGTAAAACTAAAATTTTGGTCATAACCCAAGTTGTTTGTATGTCAGGCTGGTCATAACTCGAGGGGCCACTGTATAAAAGTTCTTTTATTACATTTTTTTTTGGTAAGCTTTTTTTTTTGGTACCAGGGATTGAACTTGGGACCTTGCCCTTGCAAGGCAGGTGGCAGCACCACTGAGCTAAATCCCCCGGCCCATTTTTTTTTTTTTGGTACTGGGGATGGAACTCAGGACCTCAAGCTTGCCAGCCAGGTGCTGTACTGCTGAGCTATATCCCTGGCCCTTATTACAGTTTTTTAAAACGGCTTTTCCACTCTACAGCTCTACACACCTCAACCTCCACACTCCTGCCATCCTTCTTCACTTGCTGGAGATTCTCGATTTCCTGGTGACAGGCCCTGAGGTCACTCTGTAACTGAGACACCAGGTGACGCTTCACTGAGTTGCTGTCCAGCAAACGCTGCACATCCGCCTTCAGCCTCAGGATGACCTCATCCTTGGAAAGCTCCTCATTAAGGTCTTCCTGCTGCACAGTGCTGATGGAGAAATTGGATTCATTAGGACTAAATCAATAACGTAACATGTTCTGTCACCTACACAAAGTGCATATTTCAAAACAGTTTCAAATTTTTGTCACACACACACACACACAGACAAGAGTATCACGTTTGCTGTATCCCTGTGTACAAAAATAAGCTCATTCACAGAAAGATGTTTCTCAAGCTTGGCCTTTGTGTGAACTCTGACATGGCTTACAGTTATAATACTGGTATACTGCACACTGTTTATATATGTTCCAACAGAAATAACATGTGGATTAAGGAGGAAAAGAATACTAAATGCTAGCAAGCCTAAAAAGGAGAGAGAGAGAGAGAGAGAGAGAGAGAGAGAGAGAGAGAGAGAGAACAACAGGATAAGAATAGGAGTATGAGCCATAGGAGGAAGACATCCTATGTCATAGGGCATCAACCACTGATTTAGTAATGGGGTTGAATTAGTCTCAGCTTCACTGCTGCTCTGAATCTGATCTCACAAAGCCTATAAAGAAAGCCTTGGGTCAAATGGATTCCAAGTAACTTAAACGTGTCACAGGAAAAGTCCAACAGTATCTTCAAAAACAATAAAATCCAGCATACAAAACATACAAGTAAAAATGTCTAACATACAATCAAAATTCACCAGGCACGCAAGGAAGCAGGAAAGAAAAATATGAACGATAAGCAAGAGAGAAAGCAATCAATAGAGACTGACCCAGCAATGACACACGTAATAAGATTAATCAAATGTGCTCTGTAGGATGAGCAGAGAAATAGAAGATTATCAAGGATACAAGGGCTGGGACTGGGGGTGTAGCTCAGTGGTAGGGTCCTCATCCAGCCTACATAAAACCCTGGGTTTGAGTCCTAGCACCAACCCCCCACAAAGAAAATAAAACAAACAAAATCCACCCAAATTAAACTCAGGGAGACACAAAAAGTTGCAATATCTGAACTGGAAAACATATTGGATGAAATTAACAGCATATGAAGATGAAATGACCAATGAAGCTATAAGTATATAAATAAAACTGCACAATTAAACACAGAAGGACTGAGACAGAAAGTCACAGCATATTAAGTTTTCTGCATGTATAAATGAAGTCCCAGAAGAGGAGAGGGGGAGGGAAAGAATATCTGAAAAGATAATGGTCAATATTTTTCTAATTTAATGAAAACAAAACTCCCTTAAAACCTAGACATCCAATGAGTCTCAAGCAGAAGAAACATAAAGAAAACTAATGTCAAATTGCTAAACTAATCCTCACCGCATCTTGCACAAGACACCAGACCTGGAGCTCTGGGAGTTAACGTCCGTCCACTCAGCTGGGCTCTTATGCTGCTTTGGGCTTATTACTCCTTTCCACTTGAGTATTTCTCCCTTCTGGAGTAGGAATGTTTATTCTATCCTCGTCCCACCGCTATGGCTTAGAAGAATGTAACTTGTGTTTATTTTTTATTATACCAGGAAGCAATATAAGAATCTATGAACAACTAAATGGAAAGTAAACTGTGAAATACTCATTAAAAAAAGAGACATGTATATATAAAAAAGAATGAGCAACAGCCACATGCTACTTACACAATGCTGAGTGAAGAAAGACAATCTAAGGAACTCATACCTATGAAAACCAGACAACTCATGTCAACCTTAAAGGACAATGAAGGACAAAGACTGAATGTTTCCCACTAAGATTCAGGTCAATGAAAAGATTTCTGCTCCTGCCACTTCTACTCAGTGGTGTTACAGGGTTCTAACCAGAGGAACTGGTCAGAAAAGAAAAAGGCATCCAGATTAAAAAGAAAGAAGAGAAATTATCTCTTTTATTCAGATGACATGGTCTTGAAAACAGAAAATCCTGAGGCGCCCACTAAAAATCTATTTGAACTAATAAACCACTTCAGCAATGTGACAGTGTACAAGATCAACATACCACAAAAACACGTGTTGACATCTAATATTAATAAGCCAACTAAAAATAAAATTAAGGAAATAACTCAGCAAAAGTAACAGAGAGAATAAAATACCTAGGAATAAATTAATAAAAGAAGTATGACTTGAAGACTGAAAGTTACAAAATATTAATGAAAGAAATTAAAGATATAATTTTTAATTCTATGTTCACGGATCAGAAAACAATATTGTCAAGTGGCAATACTCCAATTCAATGCAACACCCATCAAAATCCTAGCTCAGTTCTTTGCAGAAATTGACAAACTGACATTAAAATTCACAGAGGAACAGAAGACATCCAGAAAACCAAAATAATCTTGAAAAAAATGAACAAATTTGGAGGACTCACACTTTCTGGTTTTTTTATCACACAGTTATAGCAAAATGGTATACTACTGGCATAAGAACACACATATAAAGCAATGGACTAGATTGAGAACCCAGAAAACAAACCTTTATTTACAATCAACTAACTCTCAGTAAGAGTGCCAAAACAATTAATAGGAAATTGTCTTTTCAACAAATGCTGATGAGACAACTGAGTATCCATGTGTAAAAGAATGAAGTTAGATCCCTACCTCACAACATATCCAAAACTTAACTCAAAATAGACACCAAGCCTAATGTAAGCGATAGAACTCTTAGAATAAAACAGATATAAATCATTAGGACCTTGGATTAGAGCATGATTTCTTAGACATGTACCAAAAGCACAAGCAACCAAAGGAAATGATGTAGGTAGGCTGGACTTCCATCAAATTAATGGCTGTAGGGATCAAAAGACTCTTATCAAGAAAGTAAAACAAGGGAGGGGGTGTAAGAGTGGTAATGGAAGGGATGGATATAAATATGTAGATACATATAAATTTAAATTTTAAAATAAAAATAAAGCACACCAACAATTCACAGAATAGGAGAAAATATTTGCAAATCATATTGTCTGGCAAGGACTTGTATTCAGAAGAGGTGAAGAAGGGGAGGAGATGCAAAGGAGAATTGAGGTGCGTTACGTCCATGCACCGACTCCCCCTAGAGGAATGGAATCATTATGTACTGCAAATGTGTCCTTATAAACATGAACTTCTTACAAAACTGGGGGAAAAAAGAACTCAATACTAAACAAAAAGATAATCCAATTGTAAAACAGACAAAAATTTGAATAGATAGGTCTCCAAATAAGATCTATAAAAGTGGCCAAAAGATATTAAGACCACAGCATTAGCAAATCAAAACCACAATGAGATACCACTTCACACCCACTATGAAAGAAAATACATGTTGGCAGAACCTGATGATATGAATTCATGCATTGCTGATGGGATGTAAAATGGTAAAGACACTTTAGAAAACAATTTGACATTTCCTCAAAATGATAAACACAGAATTGCCTTATGACATACATACGAAATTATCAGCAGGCTATAAAATGAGATGAAGTGCTAATACACAATACAATACAGACAAACCTTGAAAATATTAGCAAAGTAAAAGAAGTCGGTGACAGAAGGCCACGTTCTACAATTTCATGTGTGTGAAAGGCACAGAGCAGGCAAATCCATGGGGACAGGAGTAGACTGGGGCTACGTGGAGCTGCAGAAACAAGGAGAAGGGACAGGGGAGGACAGGCAACAGGTATGGGGTTTGGGGAAGTGTTGTTTCTTGTTTTTGTGGCTGTTGAAATGTCCTAAAATTAAGTTGTGATGGTGGTTATGTAGCTCTATGAACATACTAAAAGCCACTGAACGGTACACTGAAATGGTGACTTCTGTGGTATATGGAATATACTTCAATAAAGCTGGCCAAAAAGAAAGAAAGAGAGAAAATAAAAAACACCTATTCCACGAGTCCTCTTAATAGGAGGCTAAACTAATAATTTCTAGGTGAGAATAAATGGGAATTACAAGGATAGGGAAAACAAGAAACTGACTGCCGCAACAGCTAAGAGAGTACTTAACCTCCAGGTCAGCACTGGAAGGAGGAAGACAGCGGCTCTGGGCAGAGCTCATCTCTCAACCCGGGTGACCTCTGGAGTATTCAAATAACCGAGAAACTACACTTAACGTTCGTTTGCTTATCTTCAGGAGTTATAGCTCACAATTTTAAAGGTTTAAGCATGAAAGTATAAAAAGCACTAGAAAGAAATCATCTTTTTAAATAGCCAGAAATCACAAAGGCAGACACTGACAGATCTAACAACATAGGACCTCAAACCAAACTGGAAGGGTGACAAGAGAGCAGTGCCCGGGTCCAGAGAAGTGAGTGCGCCAGTGGCTTCAGGGCTGTCTGGCAGATGATTCCAAGTAAAAGGTAAGAATGCTGTGTATGCACAGACAGAAAGAGCAGGAGCAAAATGTAAGTAGGGTTTATTTTTAGGTAGACTTTTAAAAGATGTTATAAAATGAGCTCCTTGTGACACGCACATGTCACTTTTGTATATGTATTGTATAAGTACATCTGCATATCTAAGACTCACCTATTTAAACCACTTCTATTTACACAGAAGATATACTTTTTTCACCCCCCCATTAAGTTTATTGGTACATTTTAGGTATAAAATACAGTTGCATTCATCATTGGGATCTTGTACCTTTACATGAGTCTCTTGGTTCTTATTTTTTTCCCCTTCCTTTGCCCTGCCTTCAATCCCTCCACCCTTCCTATTTGCAAAGAC